TGGTGCTACAGCCTTTACAGGGCCTCGACCTTCTCAAGCTTTCTACGCCATTCTGTTCTGTCCCTTGCTCGCATTTTCCAGTTGTCTCCGATTTTCTCCTTATCTCGTATTACCCCATCCATCCACCTCAGCTTTGGTCTACCCCGTCTTCTCATTCCCACGGGTTGCGCTGTTAAAATCTTTTTTATCATGTTCGATTCAGGGGCCCTGGCTACATGTCCTGCCCACTGCAGGCGGTTTCGCTTAATTATCGTGGTAATATCTTTACCACCAAACGTATGCTTGTAGATATTCTGCACTTCAAAGTTATATCTACGCCTCCATATTTCGTTCTCACAGACCGCTCCGAATATATTGCGTAGCACCTTTCTTTCAAAAATGGATAGAGCGGATTCATCTGTTTTCGTTAGCGTCTATGCCGCTGATCCATATGTGAGAACGGGGACTATCAGTGTGCTATACAGACTTATACGAGTTTTTTGAGACAGACGTTTGTTAGATAAGTACTTTGATAGACCATGATAACACCTATTTGCAATTATTATTCGCCTTTTTATTTCCTCAGATGTGTTATTATTGGGGTTAACCGATGTCCCTAGATATATAAACTCTTTGACTGCTTCGAAGTTTTGGTCATTGATGAATAAATTTGTGTCAACATTTCCAGCTCTTGTGTTTGTGTTAGTCGCCATGAATTTGGTTTTATTTTGATTTATATGTAACCCCATTCGTTCTGCTGTTGCTACTAGCTCGGATAGGATTTCCGCAGTTCTCGCTCTAGTTCTTGTTATAATGTCCACGTCGTCTGCATATGCTAGAATTTGGACTGATCTGTTAAATATTGTTCCTCTGCTATCTACAAGTATATGTATATCTTAAATATGTATATACAACATTCTTAATTACTCTGAAGGACCTGGTGGACTATATTTCTCCATTTGCTTCTATTCTTTGTAGTTGTTCTCCGCCAAACTTGATCATTTCTATGCATATGTCACTTTTACCAGGACTTCTATTATTTTTCATTTCTTGTATTGCTGTCACCACCTCCTCCTCTGTAGGCTGCCTTTCAACTATCGCATCTTCTCCAACCGTCCAGTTGTCTCCTGCTTTGGGGTCCACCTCACCATTTAATAATTCTTCAAAATGTTTTTTTCCATTCCGTCATTATTTCTACCAGATCGCTAATTAAATTTCCGTCTTTACCTTTCATATAACTACAGTGGCTTTATATAGTGTAGCTCAGGCTAGATAAAAAAGTTAAAAAAATTAGCAGATATATGAAAGTTTTAAATAAAAGGGGTCTTTCTAATAATAAATACATGAAAAGATTCAGCCAGATATGCATTTTTTATAAACACTGAAAAAGTCCAAAATTTAGAATTTTGCTTATATAATTTTCAAATTAAATTTTATAAATAATCGGTAAACTGAAGATTTTAGAGCATAAAAAGAGTTTTAACTTTGTTTTTAGGAGTTAGAATAGATAAACAATTAAGCTAAATACGGATTTTTTGTCAATATTGAATAAATGTAATTTATTGTATAAATTTAGAAAGTACTGCAATAACAATTGTAAATGTCGAAAACATTGTGACAAAGGGGGCATCATATGTGTCAATATGTGTGCTAAATTTCAGCCGGATCAGTTTGATAATTTATGTAAAAACTTAATTGTTTATCCCAAAGACGAATTATTTAAACAACTAGTCTTGCAAAAAATAGTCATAGAAAATTTAATTTAAATGGAATATATTCTTGAAGGTTTCAACTTAGGCTTCAACTAAAAAATAGTAGGAATTTAGTCAAAAAAATATTATTAATTTCAAAATTGTTGTCAAAAATGATGTTTAAAGAAATTCATTTTGATAGTTAAACATTTGCAATCACTTCGTTATTTTTCATTACAATTAGTCATTACAAGTTGATTTAGATAAAGATTGTTACAAAACGCATATTTAAAAAAAACCTTCTACGTCCAATAAGATCCAAGATAATATTTTTTTAAATTCATATCTCTTTTGTTTATAAACATTTCGAAATCCTCGAAATTTTCAGATTTCAATCAAGGATAATAATTTTAGGATCCAATTTATAATAAAAATGTTCTCTGTAATCTTTAAGAGATACCATAAAGTGAAGGTACGCGCATTCATCATTTTTTAAAGTTCTCATAGCTTTCGTTTCTTCTTTGGTTATGTATGTTCAATTTTCTTAGACTTTTCCAATTCAATTTTAGATATATTCTATATTCTTCTTTCTCGTCGCAAATATTGAGATATTTTCTACACTGAGCTCATGATGTCTAGTTTTGGAATAGCATTTAAATGTTTATTTGATTAGTGTTTTGTTCTACAATAATATTAAATTTATTTAACCGTATATTTCTTTGTTTCTCATAATATGAATTTTCATAGACTATATGTAAAAAAATATACTTTAATATACTTATGTCTTATTTAATTATATTAATAATATTATTAAATTTCATCTATCAAACTGTAACCTTTCCCGGATCATAGATAAACTGGCATTGTAGAATTTTTTGTTACCGTCAGCTTGAATATGTCGGACGTAACTTCAAGCACTTTGGTATTAAGTTATTATCTTTACATATTTGTAAAAATTTGATAAAATTTTAACAATGTGCCAGTTATCCATAGAGAAGTTTCCAATCTCCTAGAATTTTGAATGAGACTAGGCCTATACCAGTTTTTATTACTGTTCTGATAAATAAACTTAATTTTAACAAAGCAAAAATTGTGACTTATTTTCTAGCCAAAATAGTAAATAATTTCAGATATCTGCTAAATTTTTTTACCCGAAATACTTATTTTTTTCATCTGTAGCCTGGGCTACTGTTGAACGTATAACTAAATGTACCAATATGATTTTTTGTACAAAAAACTATACACTGTGTGTCAGCCAAATGGAATAAATTAGCTAGTAAATAAATAAGCGAGTATTCGAAAATGCCGTCGATTAGTATTTATAGTTGTGCGTTTTTCCATAAAAACTTTTTATAGGGGTTTATCAGATAACGGTGGCCAATACCAACTTGCTTATTTTAAATAGAACACCCTGTACATTAATTAATTTTTATATTCCTCAGATCACTCTAGACATTTTTTAAATACAATTTCCTATACCTATCTTTGACTATTTTGGAAATATTAAGTAAAATTCAAAAGTTCACATTTAGAAAAGAAAATTATCTATTTGCCGAAATTGGCTACAAAATATTCAAAAACTTCTAAATAATACAAATCTAAACAATAATGTCAATATAGAAGATGTTGAAAATGCTCCCCATGAACGTCTTGGCAACACCCTAACCGTGAATAGAAATTTCTTCTAACGTTAGTCAACATTTCGGATGTGATCGATCGAATCGCAATCGTTATTCGTCTTCGTAAGTCAGCTAAGCCAGTGGGTTTAGTTTTGTACACAATACTTGTCACATATCCCCATAAGAAAAAGTCTAATGGCGTCAAATCGGGGGATCGTGGTGGCCATTCCATCGATCCTTGTCTCCCTATGCACCGATTTGGAAATATTTGGTTGAGGTACTGCCGGACATGGATTTGGTAGTGGGGTGGTGCTCCATCTTGTTGAAACCATATCATATATTCGCTAGAACTTGTGGGTTTAATAGATTAGGATACAAGTTGGCCAACGTTGGCACTACATTATTTTGGAGTAATGCTAAATAATTCTTGCCATTCAAATTGCCATCTATGAAAAAGGGACCTATGATCTGATCACCAATAATTCCTGCCCACACGTTAACCTTCTTGAGATATTGAGTATTTCCTTGTCTCATCCAGTAAGGATTGTCCCTGGAACAATAGCGGCAATTTTGCCGATTAGCATGACGTGAAGAGTAAAGGTACACTTATCAGAAAACAAAACATGTTCTAATTGGATCACATTGCTGTCTAACATTGCCATCATTTGTTCACAAAAATATGTTCTCCTGTCAAAATTATCTTCCATGAGCTCCTGTGTGTGTATAATTTTATAGGGATGCATTTTTTTTCTTGTAATATTCGAATAAATGATGAATAGCTAATATCGAGTACTGGGGCTGCTTTTCGAACAAATGTATGTGGGTGTTCCTCAAACTCAAGCATAACAGCCAATTTGGTATCCTCACTTTATTGCGTTGGCAGCTTCTTTTTTACCTTCCTAACATGGCTCAGCTCGTGGAACTGCTTCTCCATTTTACTAATCGTCCGTTGAGATATGTGCGGCGAATCAGGAAATGCTTCGTGTAATAAACGAGCTACTTCCAATTGCGCACGTGTCTGATCTCCATAGCCAATCATCTATATAATTGTAATTTTGTGCATTTCTGTTAAGCGAATTATTCTTCTAGCTTGCGGTTAATGAAATTCAAACAACTATAGCACTGACAACTACTTCTGTCATGGAACAATAAAACATTGGCGTTTTAAACCAAAGTAAACAATTTTTTGTTTTTTTTTAACATATCAATAAAAAGGAATGCTTAAATAGTTTTTGCTTACTTTATCATTACCAAGTCCTAAATGGTCAAGAAGTATTAAGACAGTGGTAGCGACTTTCGACAAATAAATAATTTTCTTTTCTAAATGTGAATTTTTGCATTTTACTTTCCGAAACAGTCAAAGATAGGTATAGGACATTGTATTTAAAACATGTCTAAAATGATCTGAGCAATCTAAAAATTAACTAACATACAGGGTGTTCTACTCAAAATAAGCAAGTTCTTATTTACTTCGTTATCTGATAACCCCAAATAAAAATTTTTATGGAAATAATGAGCAACTATAAGTACTAATCGACGTGTTTGACCGTTTTTTCGAATACTCCCTCATTTATTTAATAGCTAATTTATTTCATTTGGCTGACACACAGTGTATGGATTACTTAATTTTTTCGAATAAAGATAAAAGTGTATTTAAATGCATTTTTACTAAACCGATCTAATCTGTAGTCTCTCACATTTTGGATATTACCTGCCTGACGATTGGATAAAGATAGTTCCTTGAAAATCGATTTGAAAACTCTCTAACTCTTAATTTTCTTCTGGATATATCTTCATCGCCATCTGGTGGTTCAATACCCTTATCTAGAAGGTTCCTAAAAAATAGAATTTTTATTTTTTTATTTAGTATGTAAAATTAAATTAAGTTAGAAACATGGACCACCTCCAAAACAGACGCAAATCGTCTGCTCGTCTTCGAATGGAAGATACTATGCAAAATAATGGGCGTAATCTGTAAGAATGTTATTTGCAGAAAGCGATATAATTTTTAATTGTACGAGAAGCATAAAGAAACAATTAATGGTTAAGATGTAATATCTTTCATAAAATAGGTAGGCTTAGAGGACGCAAGGAAGATAGCGCAGCAAACTGACAACGTTTTGCGATGAACAGAAACGACTGGCGAAATAGACTTGGAAGGTCGAGGCTCATCTAAGGCTATAGCATCACTGATGATGATAATAATGTAAAATTTGATAGTAAAATATTACAATTATTAACGTCAGGTTCCCCAAAACTCCTACACAACTCAAAGTGTCCATACTTTTTAGTATTAAATCGGCACCAGAGACCTAGTGGTATTTAAAAGGACGAAAAGAAAACTTCAGAATATAACAAAACTAATCTTAGTCTACTATCCTTCTCCTACGTTTTCAACAGCCAGTATGGATTTACAAACGTGACCGGGAATCCAACCAATAGAAACTAGCAAGAGAAAGCAAAATGCAAAATCTTTTAAAAATAAAACAAAGAAAATATGTCCAGTATAAAATATCTTCATACCAAGAAACCCCTTTAAATTTGAACCACAGTTTAGTACATAATTGGACTGTAGTTTCTAAATATTCCTACCATATACCAATACACTCCAGGGCAAATAAATTTATTCCTTTAGGATACACTGAACTAGTAACACACTCTAGGTAGCCCTTATAGGCTACCTATTATTACATATAAAATGCCCCTTCTTCATTGCGAAAGGATACTGTCCAAATTAGAAAAACAGAGGGACCAATATTTTAAGCCTACTTTTCCCTAATATGTATTTCAAATGTTTGACGAGTCAAGTTAGTAGAAAATAAGCGTTTTTTCGTCACAAGTGTATAGACGGGTTTGACAGTTGAAATGGATAGTATAAGATATTACAAAAAGACTCTCATCTAGGGATTCATGAATTTTTTAGTGGAACTATTTTTAAATAAACAATTAAGACGTCAATATCATTATTTTGCTCATAACTTATAAACTTGTCTATTTAGAGATTTGACGTCCACAGACGAGTTGTTGAGAAAGAAAAAATACACAAAATGAGATATACTAAATTAAAATCGGTTAATAAACAAAAAAGTTATTGCATAATAACCAAGCAAAACGGCTGTTTTTGATTATTATTAATAACTCTTTTAGTAATCAATAAAATTTATTTAAATGTATCTGAACTTAAAGATCTCATCGTGTTCGAAGTGTGTGCGAAAGATAGGCTATTTAATTTAAACTAAATAGTACGGAGTTATTGTAAATGTTTATAAGCTTAAAAAGTGCTATTTATTGTTAAATCATTTTGTGTATATAAACGTAATTTTTTTTAACTTTTTTTCCATAGGATATTAAATATATGTCTCAACAAAGAAAATAAGCCCCGGATTATTAAGATCCATTCAGTCAAATTATCTGGACCGGCCTTAGAAATTTGTGCGTTTTTCAAAAAATCTTATAAACAAATTAAATTGTGCAAAAACTATTCGACGGATCTCGAATATCTTTTTCACACACTTCGAACACGATAAGGTCTTTAAGTTCAGATACATTTAAATAAATTTTATTGATTAATAAAAGAGTAATTAACAATAATCAGAAACAGTGGTTTTGCTTGGTTATTATGCAATAACTTTTTTGTTTATTAACCGATTTTAATTTAGTATATCTCCTTTTGTGTATTTTTTCTTTCTCAACAACTCGTCTGTGGACGTCAAATCTCAAAATAGACAAGTTTATAAGTTATGAGCAAAATATTGATATTGACGTTTTAATTGTTTATTTAAAAATATTTATACTAAAAAATTCATGAATCCCTAGATGAGAGTCTTTTTGTAATATCTCATACTACTTATTTCAACTGTCAAACCCGTCTATACACTTGTGATGAGTAAAAACCTAACTTGATTGGCCTATTGTTTGATAAACTAGATACAATTCCTAACTAAAATAATAGGTGTTGCCTACACGTAGTATCTCAGTAATGGAATTACGGTACATGGAATTACACAACTTCCATTTTTGTTAAATTTACACTTATCTGTGGAAAATTTACTTTTGCAAGAACATCTCTGATTGCCCACCCCAAAAAGACATTTTTCTAACATATTCGCACAATGAAATGTTTAATTTTGGAACCATGTCTAGAGAAATTAATGATTCTTTGTAGATGGTAAATTGATTTCTACAATACAACTGTGGCAGGCTCCCTTCTTAGGTGTACCCAATTCGTATAATTAATTCTGGACACTCGTGATAACAGCCAAAACATTTATTTCTAGAATATATTTCTGCCCCCTTAACATCTGGCACTCTTAATTTTACTGTGTCCCCGACATTACCACCTAGAATGAATTTTAAGTTTGATGTTTTAAGCATTTTCTTTGCTTGCTTTTCAATATCTTCCTTTGCGCGTGTCCGTTTAATTGCAACAGAATCTTGCCTCTAAAATTTGATTTCAATATAGTTCTTCTAGAATCGCATTAGATTCATTCACTGATTGTTGCTCAGGTTGTTCTGGTTCTTGTTCTATTAGAAGCTCATTTGGTTCATTCACTTCTGCTTTTTCACATTCTTCACAATTAGGACCTGACTGGTTTTCTTCTACTTATTCTACTAACGCTTTCAAATATTTGTTAGTCGAAATATTTTCTAGAGCATTTTCTAACAGTGACTAAGTTTTCAAACCAATTTTGACAGAAATCCCAAACATAGCTTCATACAAAATTGTACAAATCGAAGACCCTCTGACCACTTGTTTGCTTGGTTGGATATTTTCGATGTCTTGATTCGCACGTTCGACAGATCCGACTGACTATGTCTTAGCTTATGTGTATTTTCTTCAAATATTTCCACATGGGCGGTTCAAATGGGGTAGTGATGCGTAAAATATGACGCTGCATCCTGTTAGCGTCACTAGCCTCTCCTACTCAATTCCAACTCTCACCTCCACGCGGTGAACCCTGGTAACCTGAGCAACTCTGTGGAAGATTGTGGTAACCAACCCCAATGGGAAGCAGAGTCAGGGCAAACGAGAGTGAGAGAAATGGTCCTTCGAAGATTAGGGGGTTGGGCAAAAGGTTAACGACCTCTTCCCTTAAAAAAACTCATTGTTATGAAAGCACAAAGTGGAAAAGCCGGACTGTTTAATTCACGACGACCTAGCAAACGACAACGGAATAACGATTTACGGATATGCACATGGAATGTACGAACCCTTTATGCCCCAGGTGCTCTTAGACTGCTAACACAAGAACTTGATAAAATGAAAGCCGATGTAGTAGCGATTCAAGAGATGAGATGGACTGGTTCAGGAATCATCGAGAAAAGAGACTACAATATATACTATAGCGGACATAGCAGCCGACACGAGTTTGGCAGTGGTTTTCTAGTCAGTAAAAAAGCAAAGCAATTAGTCCTTAACTTTAAACCCATAAACAACAGAATATGTTATCTACGTCTTAAAGGAAAATTCTTTAATTATAGCTTACTTAGTGTACACGCACCTACGGAAGAAAAGGAGGATAATGAAAAAGATGAATTCTATGACACCTTAGACAAAGAATATGATCGATGTCCACGTCATGACGTGAAAATCATTGCTGGAGACCTTAATGCAAAAATTGGCAAAGAGCAATTTTTCCAGCCAACTATAGGACGTGAGAGCTTACATGAAGAGTCAAATGATAACGGGTTGAGACTAATAAACTTTGCAAGTACTAAAAACATGATAGTAGGAGGAACAACATTTCCCCATAAAATGATACACAAAGGAACATGGAAATCCCCTGATAACGAAACCATTAACCAGATAGATCACATCCTGATAGATGCAAGGCACTCTTCCGATCTCATAGACGTCAGAAGCTACCGAGGCCCAAACATTGACAGTGACCACTTTCTTGTAATGGCAAAAATCAGAGGAAGAATATCAAACCTAAAGAAAGATAAACACACGAAACAAGACAGAATTAATGTTGATAATCTGCGCATTGAAACCGTTGCGAGAGAGTATAGGAGACAAATGGACGAAGAAATGGAGAGCCTGGAGGTGGGGGAAAACGTAGAGGAACTGTGGACAAAATGTAAAAACATAATAACTGAGAAAGCAACAAAAATATTGGGGAAAACCAAACCAGTTAAAGAAAACGAATGGTTTGACAAGGAGTGCCAAGAAGCAACAGATAACAAAAACAGGGCATACCTAAAGACAAATCAAGCTGGATGCACAAGAAGAGCAAAGGAAGAATACCGGACACTAAGAAGAGAAGAAAAACGATTACATAGAAGAAAAAAAAAGACAATTTGAGCAAAAGCAATTGGAAAGCACAGAATTTCTAAGAAATCAAAATGAAACTCGAAAGTTCTACAGACATCTAAACAAAATGCGCAAAGAGTTTAAGCCAAGAATAAGGAGCTGTAAGGATGTAGAAGGAAACATCCTAAATGATACGGCCTCAATCCTAAACAGATGGTTGAATTTTTCGATGCAAAATTTAATGGCCATCATATCGAAGAAGCAGATAACACCCTAGCAAATCGAAATGATTGGAATCCTTTCAACCCAAACGAAAGACCACCTACCATCGAAAACGTTGCCCAAGCCATTAAAAAGCTTAAAAATAATAAATCACCAGGAGTTGATCAAATTTGCAGTGAGCTCTACAAGAATGGTGGCGATGCCCTACTACAGACACTGCATAAGCTTTTACTTCTTGTTTGGCATAATGAAACCATGCCTTGTGAATGGTCTCAAGGCGTGATATGCCCGTTACATAAAAAAGGTGACCAGCTCCAGTGTGACAACTATAGAGGTATAACCCTGTTAACAACTGCTTACAAAATACTAGCAAATATTCTCTACGAAAGGTTGCAAGTTTACACAGTGGGCATAGTTGGTAAATATCAAGTTGGATTCACTCCAGAAAAATCAACAATTGACCAGATTCATTCAATAAGACAGATTCTCGAGAAAACATTAGAATTCAATATTGAAACCCATCACCTATTCGTCGACTTCAAGGCAGCATACGACAGTGTCAAGAGAACAGTGCTATACCAATCAATGCATGAGTTTGGTATACCAGAGAAACTTATCCGACTAACGAGAATGACAATGTCTAACTTAGAAGCCACTGTTAGAATACAGGGAGAGAGTTCTAGATCCTTTGAGATAAAGGATGGACTCAGACAAGGAGATGCTCTGGCTTGCCTCCTATTTAATATTGCCTTGGAAAAGGCAGTCCGAGATACACGAATTAGGGACGGCGGTACTATTTACAATAGATCGATACAAGTCTTAGCATATGCTGATGACATTGACATAATAGGGCGTAGCAAGCGAGATGTTGAGCAATATCTCCTAGAATTGGAAACAGCGGCGAAACAGGTCGGTCTAGTCATCAACGAAGACAAAACCAAGTACATGTTGGTTACAAAGGATCCGATAGCAAATGAGGAACGAGAAACAGTCTTTGGAAGTCATACCTTTGAACGTGTTGACAACTTCACATACCTTGGGTCGCTATTGACTGCTACCAATAAAACAAGCGAAGAAATCAAAAGACGAATAAATCTTACAAATAGGGCATACTATGGACTCCAAAAGCATTTCCACTCAAGAAACATTCAAAGAAGAACTAAAATTATTATATACAAAACATTGCTGAGGCCGGTCCTCACATATGGAGCAGAAACATGGACATTAACGCAGAAAGATGAAAGACTTTTGGGAATATTTGAGCGTAAAATACTCCGCAAAATATTTGGAGCTGTAAACGACCAAGGGCAGTGGCGCAGAAGATATAATTTTGAATTGTATCAGCTCTTTGATGAGCCAGATGTCATAACGTTCATTAAAACACAGCGACTTAGATGGGCTGGACACATAATACGAATGCCAGAAAATACCATTGCTAAAAAGCTAACCACAGGAACACCTGTAGGAAAAAGAAGCAAAGGCCGACCGCGAATTAGGTGGTTAGATGGAGTAGAAACCGACTTACGAATATTAAAAATCAGAAGATGGCAACATGTTGCCAAAAACCGAACAGAATGGCGACGAATCTTAGAGCAGGCCAAGATCCACAGAGGATTGTCGAGCCAAAGATGATGATGATTTCCACATGGAGTACAGTTCTTCTATCATTCTACAGTCTCAATTTTAATTTCACAATCTCAATCAATACTACAGACTGAAGACTGATTACCCACGAGGTACACAAAGGTATTGCGCTTGCGTGTCGATCGTTGTAATTTGAATTTTTTACTTTTACCAAGATCCTCTGGGAAATGCATACAATTACCAGTAAAACTAGGAAATAAAGGGTTTTTATAGTACATTGTTTACCGGGTAGGAAAAGCTTAACATTCCTGGACGACTGTGAAGATTGCTAAGTCGAGGCGCAAGCCGAGACTTAGCAACACAGAGTCCAGGAATGTGGCTTTTCCTACGAGGTAAACATACTATTTTTCCGCAAATCGTTTAAAATTCGACAGATATCTCGGCTTGCGCCTCGACTTAGCAACACAGAGCCCAGGAATGTGGCTTTTCCTACGAGGTAAACATACTATTTTTCCGCAAATCGTTTAAAATTCGACAGATATTGATTGATTTAAAAAAACGCGATAATTTTATTCCCAAATAAATGGTGCTTTGAAATTCCTAATAAAATTACTTGGGTTACTATGAAAACGTATTGAGGTTGAATGGTCAAACTTGACGCTTATAAATTTAATTGCTGGTGTTCTCGAAAGTAAAATGATAAGTGATGATGAAATTTTTATTCCTGGGACTCCTCCAGAGCTGGTTGAGGCAGTTAACAATAAGGTTGAGGTGGCAAATAAAATTTTCACAGTACAAAATATTCAACAAAATGACACTTCCACCCTGCATGTTGTCCAAAATGTTTCTCATAGTTCTAAGAGTGTTCCTCCAATGTTCAATAATTGTACTAACTGTCAAATTACTGTAAATATAACAAATTGATCTTAAAAATGTATTCAGCAATGACTTGATGTTTTCAAAATATAAATTAATTCCTTATAAGCAATGTGTTTTCTATCATTTATGTAGAACACTAACAACTGTACGGAAATATCATTTCCTTACAGTAAGGAAATGACATTTCCTTACAGTAAGGAAGTCCTGACTTTTTCTTCAAGAAATTTTGACAGGAATGTCAAAATTTCCTGGCGATTTGCAGAAAAAGAATATTTTCTACATTTACCGTCGACTCTGGTAATTGTATACAATTACCGGTAATTATGTACAATTATCAGATTATCTAATCTTACCGTAACATAGACACTTAAAGTAAATTTTAATTAATATTTAATATTCCCAAGATACGATTTTTGTTCAACTGATAAAATTAGTATTAATGAATTCTCCGCAAAACCGTTATAGGGCACTCGAAAAAATATGTATATTTATAAAAAATTCGTTCTTACACAAAATATTAAAGTAACATTGTTCTTCCATAAAAGAATTTTAAACTTACTTAGTTTAAACTCTTTTAATGTTGTTGTTATGTATGTTAGTATGTGTTTTAGTAAAAGAACTTTTAATTATGCGCTAATGAACAGTGCTTAAATTCTCACCTTATTTCGTTTAAACTTTGTAGACTTTTCTCGACAAAACATCTAAACTTCTTTTCAAATACACTCTCAGGCAGTATTTTATGTAAAGGTTGTGTGACAAATTTTGAGGCGACCTTATCTTCTCGGCGAATAGTTTTATTATATTTGATTTCTGGTGTAGGAACACTGCATTTTCTCTTAGGCATGTATAATTCTCTAACTTCGGTTGTGAAATTCGTATCATTTCTGACAGACATTGCATTCATATTCAATATGTTCGAAAAACTGGTAACAGGAGTAACATCATACGAATCACCGATGTGAAGATCGAAAAGTTGGTCTTGACTTGGATACTTATAGCTCAACTTTTCATGAAGTCTTCTGGCATTTTTTATTTTTTCCTGAAATTTTAAGATTCTTAATAAATTAGTCTAAACATATGTATCTGAAGCATTTTATTGTGATATCTTTATATTAACACTACCTATATATTATGAGAATTCATCACAATTATAATTATAAATTTATTTCTCTATATAACCGTGAAGCTTAATTTATTCTATAAGGTTCAGCCTTTAAGAAAATATTAAAAAATTATTCTCAATAGATTTAATATCATAATAGTAGTACTAAAATGATATAAAACTAAAACGATACTTCAGAGTAGGAAGGGCGGTTTTTTTTAATCCAATAGATTAGAAAGTTACATTTACAATGCACTTTAGTTTGCGATACTACACTCGACTCGATATCAATATGATCAAAATTAGTACTATCGAAAGGACATCAATATCAACGTAAATAAAACAATCTTGTGTTTTGTGGGAAAAAATTCCCCAACAAAAATTTCTCAGACTCTTTCAAATGGGATTTAAAGAAAATAATATCAACATAAATATTTTACTTAAAAATAAATTGGATAATTTCATCAAACAATCAAAACATCAAACATTGGACAAATTCATCTTTTATTTTTTACTACTATCAAAAAAATTATCATGTATTACTTTTAACACGTTTGTATATTTGTATAATAGGTATATTTTAACTCATTTACGACTTCCGGTATGGGTATAAATCGTTTTGAAAACGTAGGGAAATTCTTGGAAATCCTCGTATTCATAATCGGTAATTCGATATTCATAGTCATTATTTTTGGTAATCAGAAAAAGCCATTCACCCACTTTCAATGTCAAGAGTCAAGTGTGAAAAATAGATGATGTATAAATAATATACCAGATCACTTCTTCTGTAAAAATATTACAGAAGACTACAATAAAATTTAATTGTTTCTGGCTGATGTGAGCTTGCTTTCAGTTTGCTTCTGTATTTATAAAATAAAATAAAAATTGAATTTTAGTGTTGTTTGGAATAATTACTTGAGAATAATAATTATAATTGGGTGGGATCCAAAATTTTACCTAACCTAATCCTAATCACCGTAAAAACCTAATAACCGGTTTTTACTTTAAAAATAAAAAACCGGTTATAACCGGGACAAAAAAACAACTGACAAAACCGGTTATTTCGAAATAAAAAAAAACGATTGTCGGTTAAAACCGGTAAGTTTCTTCCATCCCTACTTCAGAGGAGAAAAAGGTTTTGTGAGTTTTATAGATTTATATTGTTAGAAGAATTATATATTATATATAAAATTATGTGGTACATTGTATTCATTAATCTATATCAACCATTGCTGCAAATTAGAGGGGAATAACTTTTTTCTGCTGAAAAAAAAAATAAGAGAGTACAACAACGGGAGAAACTTAAAATGGACAATAGGGAAACATTATTTGGCAAGCTAGAGATGTGGTTATTATAAATGAGGGTAAAGATATGATCCACAGAAGTCAAATAATTTAATGATATATCAACCATGTCGATGAATACATAGACCCCATCAATATTTTCAAACGAAACCGGAAGTCGACCTCAAAAACCGGAATGCAATTTTTAGTTTATTAAATGTCGACATGGATATCATTTAGCAGTTAATTTTGCATGCTGATCACGAATCCGGTGTCAGATTTGCTCTATCTTGACGTTTTATGCGCGTTTCGGGTCACTTCCGGTATCGTATCGCAACCGGAATTACATATTTAGATTCGTCTCGACGAGACCTTTCGATCCATATATACATTATGGGGTCTAAAACTTAAAGTAAATTTTAACCGTTCATCTCAAAACCGGAAATGAATTTTTGTACCAAAAGTATATCTTGACAATCTCATACGTAATACTAATAATATTCCGAAAAAATATTTTAATTATCTAATATGGTTTTTGAGTAAAGTGGTGGACAAGAAAAGGGCTTAGCGTTTTAGTATATAAGATTATTATGTACTTTCACGTCGGGTGTTTTGAAATAGTATATTGTATTTATGGTTTACAGGCATGATAGTCCAGTCGTTAGAGATTTGACCCCTAAACATCATACGAACAAGCTGAATTTTGCCAAAAATCAATTTTGGCGCTCCAAAATAAGATGAAACAAAGTTTACCACTTTTACCTCCGGGTTTCCTCCTAGCACGCTCCACGTAGGGGAGTAAAAACGCAAAAAAATCGATTTACCCAGAATCTGTACGCCGCGCCATAGAAAAAATATTTTAAATAGGAAATAAAGCTAAGATAATTTTAAACAAAAATGTTTATTAACACTTTTTACGTAGAATGAACCGTTCTCTCAATGACAGTTGCGCACGTGAAATTCAATCAATGTTAAATAAAATTTATATGAACTCAACGGTTAAAATTCAATATATTGTGATCAGATAATCCTATCCACAAAAAACAAAATAAAGTAAAGAGCGCAACTTTGGTATGCAATTTATGAATTGTGTCGCAAATTAACTCAGATTCTATAAATCTGTTCAATAAATAAACGGAGAACGGAAAATTTATTACTTTGATTACCTGGTCGTAGTGACATTTCTATTTTTAGAGACCAGTCTTTAAAACCTATAACACGAAATTTCAATTTTGCAAAAACCGCAGAATTTAAACTTTTACATTACAAACAATCGCACGTCACGGGAAATGCCTCGAACAAGACGGTTTTGGGTGTAGTTTATAACAGAAGTTGGGTACTTTAGTTTAAATCCAGTATTTTTAAGCATATTTCAATTACCTCACATTTGTTGCCAAAACTCAAAACTAAAATGTCATGCTATAGATTTTATAGATTACGCTCTATTAATTAAAACCCAATAGTGGCCAGTCTAGAATTGTATCAAGAGAATTATAAAAAGTGGCAAAAATCGCGACAAGGTTATTTATTTAACACATTTATAAAAACAGAGTTTATTTGCGGCAAAATACAAAAACTGCATATAAAAGCTGCACTCTTTACCTTTAAAAACGCATCTTGATTATTGTAGATAGCACAATTAAATCAAAAGATATTGTATTTTTACTGCGAACATTGATTTGTCTGCAAGTGAGGCAGACATTATTAGTTGCGATTAGGGGGCGAGTGCAGTTTATTAAACATGCTTAACTCTAAGATACGGTTTACCATGAAAATATAGCATATTGCAAATACAAACATATTGCATTTTTAGATATATCGGATAAATGAAAATTAAATGGAATACTCGTATGCAGAACATACTAAAAACCAATGCACATGGATTATTATTTGAGCAACAATTATAGTTTTAAAGCATAGGTAGTTTTAAACAACAGCATACCAACTTTGAATACAATCCATTAGAATGAAAAAAAAAAAATAAAAAATAAAATAAAAAAAATATTATAGATGAAATTTAGTCGGTTAGATAGCCAAGCGGGCCAGGCGGACGAATCGCAATCACTTTACTGTGACTGATCTATCGGATAGATGGTTCAAACGCTCGCCAGAAAACAAAAACGCTAACGTAGTAGTTTAATTCTATATAGATCTGCTACTTAGACTAGAATACGCTGGTGTATCGGATCGACCATGGACGAGAAGTACGGTAAGAGATATCGGCTTGCGCCTTGGTGTTGCTACATAGATTCTTACTAGATAGGCATGTAGTAATACTAATTAAGTGTTAATTATTCCAGTTGTTCCGATGCTAAGACAGAAAAAATATACATAAAAGCCTACAAATGGGGCAAAGTAAATACATACAATAGAAGTAAAATAGTTAATTTGTACAACACGATCAAAACATCAAGTTTTAAACAATAATAGATACCGTGGCAGTGGTAATACTACACAGAAAAGGATGACATGAAACTAGATGTTGTACTATTTGTGGACAGATCCAAAATCTCTCAATAATAAGTCTGACATCAAAGATCTTTCCAATATGTATTATAATTATTTAATACATTGAGTTGTTTTTAAATGCACCATCGCAGATATTTAAGATACAACCCTGAACCATTCCTGTTTTAAGATACCTGCCAGATGTCATCTGTCAATGTCAGATAAAAAAATTTTAATCCATGTTAAAGTTTTAAAAAGTGTAAACATGAAATATAATACTAAACCATAGTTAAGTAGTTTTATTTACATCAGACTGACAAACCTAGGAAATAAAACAGTTTCTATTTAAAGATTCATCATCATCACTCTGACTTTACAACACTGCGTGTTTCCTAGCCTCCTCAAGAATTTCTCTCCAGTCGTCCCTATCCATCGCCTCCATCCATTCTCCGCCAAGCACGTATTCCCATATTTCTCATGTCTTCATCGATGTTATCAAGGAACCTTGTTCTGGATCTTTCTCTTCTTCTCTGACCGATGGGTCTATCAATGAGCGTTTTTCTAGCTGGGTCATTTTGTTCCATCCACACTACATGCTCTATCCACCTCAGAGATCCTATCTTAATATGTTTTACGATATCAGGTTCCTGGTATATTCCATAAAGTTCGAAATTAAATTGTCTTCTCCACACTCCATTGATATTCACTTATCAATAGATTTGCCTTAGTATTCGCCTATTTGTTCCAGGTCTCTAAACCATATGCTAGGACTGGACGTATTATTGTTTTGTAGAGTTTTATTTTTATATTTCTCGATTTCTCGATATAATACAATTGTGCATTTAAGGAGGAGATTGAGCCAAAAATAGATTTAAATATTTAATTTAATTTATTTTAATTCATTAAATTTTTTTATTCAATCCCTGTACGCAATCCTTTTTTAATATTGGTGAAGATATATAAAAAACGGAAATTTTAAAAGGAATATCAAATATTTTTAATATCGAAAAATGAGAAATTAAGGCTAAAGGGTAGGAGCTCCTCTGAATAGTACTATTAGGGAAAATGAATCAATCCCTGCCCTCCGCAGATTTCAGGTGTTTCCTGACCCGGGAAACTAGTACCTGCTTACGGTCCCTTGTCCAATGCACGGATGAAGTCCACAACGACAGCCACGGCGGAGAAGAATTCCTTCGGTACGGTTT